TTCTGAGTTCGAGGCCAGCCTGGTCTACAGAGTGAGTTCCAGGACAGCCAGGGCTACACAGAGAAACCCTGTCTCGAAAAAAAACAAAAAACGAAACAGAAAAACCCAAACCAAAAACCCAACCAAACAAACGTCAAGAGAAGGTTCCAACGATGGCAGATATGTGGCCTATGAAGGATACACAGTACTGCTCATCTAGTGGGAAATGTGCAACGCTCTTCCAGTGTCTTATTCCAAGTGGACACTCTTCTCTCTTCTTTCTTTAGATACATATGACCCCCTCCTTTCTCTCTCCTCACCCCCTCTCGAGCTGGAAAGCATGCGTACACACACACACACACACACACACACACACACACACACACCCTGCTTACCCAGTGAATGTGTAGACTTCCAAAGCAAACTTCTGCAGCAGGCTTGTCTTGGTGGAGTTGGACAGCACGAGGACCACATTCATGTGGCCGGGCCTCAGGCGCACCAAATTGCTGGTGTACGTCACATCTGTGAGTTCAGTTACCTCCACAAAGCCTTTCTTAGGAATCTTGCTGTGAAGAAACATGGAGAACTTTAGACACTGTCAGGATGAGGGTGGTGGTAGTGCATGCCTGTACTGCTAGCATCTGCGAAGTAGAAGCAGGAGGATGAGAAGCTTAAGGCAACTCTCAACTGTGTGGTGAGTCTGAGGATAGCCTGGGCTATGGGAATAAATAAACATGCAAATTCCTCCTTAGTTCTCTAAAACAAACACAAAACAAGTGAGGCAGAATGTTCCCTGGCACACAGGCCATAGGGTGGCTGCAGGGTGGCCCTGGCCCACAGTAACCCTTCTCAGGCAGCTTTCTGTCTAGTGCAAAGGTAGCTGCAGACGAGAGCCATGGAGGCACAAATGCTTGGCCTGTTTTTAACTCGGATAGGTCCCTTGCAGTTGTGAGTCATGGGGACAGGCTCCCCAGCTTCTGGCTCATGTACACCTCCCTTGTGTTTTCTTTCTCTTCCTGCTTCCGTGACTGAGCAGGGACTGTAAATCACATGACACTCGGTTTATCAGTCCCGTATCTACACACGTAGAGGGTCTTAGTGTCCCCAGTCAGCAGAGGCTGTTCCCTATTCTAGATGCCAGGGCAGGGGCTGGAGACAGCTTGGCGGTTAAGAGTGTGGACTGAACTTCTAGGGGTCCAGAAGGTCACAACAGTTTAGAGCTCCAGCTCTAGGGGATCTGATCTTTCTGGCCTCTGAGGGTACAGACCTACACACAGACATAATAAAAACTAACAATTACAAAGAACTCAGAATGCCCGGGAATAGAAGGGCTTTGGATATTTAGATTCCCTTCCCATTTTATAATATGGGCAAGCATACAAATGAGACATATTGAGTGTGTGTGTGTGTGTGGGGGGGGGGGCAAAACACGACATTTATGTCTGTTATATGCCTCAGCTTGAAGGTGACTTCACATACACTTTGGGTACATGTGGACTTGCTGTTGACTCACCGATGAGGCACACAACTGTTTTCTTTGGTCTCAATATGTAGTTCTGGCCGGCCTGGAACCCTGCCTCCCAAGTACTGGGATTAAAGGTACATGCCACCATGAACGGCTGTTCAGAACACAACATGCGGCCTTACGCTGCCATCCGTAAGTTTTACACTTCAGTTCTTTTTGAGTTGGGGGCTAGGCTGTGCTCAGTGACAGCATGTGTCAGCACACCTGAGGCCTGGGTTTGCCTCAGCATTGCAGCTCCCTCCCCGAAACAACAGCCAGAGTTTAGAGTCAGGCAAGGAGGCCTCTCTACCCATCTACAGTGCCCTACGAGGCTGAGGGCAGGGTGTGCTGTGTGGGAAGAACCTGGTGTTCTCTTTGGTGAAGCTCGGCTCAGTCTTCCCAGCCTTCTCAGGAACTTCCTCTTTATCTGGAGGGTGCGACTCTCGCTCCTCATTTGAGTCACTAGAGTACAGAAACATAAGTTACTTTTCTTTTCCTTTCTAAACAAAAAGGGTATACATGACATGGCAGGTTGGCCACTGGGCTCACCTGAAGGCCTGGACGATGACAGTGCCGAAGAGAATGAAGAGGGCTGAGAAGATGAGGGACAGCAGCGGCATCATCTCCCGCCTGGAAGCAAAGGCAGCTGTTAGGCCACATCCGTGGATTTGGGTTTCGGCTGTCTCAGGAGGACAAAGTCCCAAACCAAATGCCCTTCACACCAAGAAATATGATCACAAGACAGGCTGTTTCTAGGGTGAAGAAGTGGGAGGGAGAGACTGTTTCCTCAATGTTCCAGTCACGGAGACTATTCTGGAAGGTGGCTTTAGGCTGTGTCTAATACATTCTGCAGAAGGTTAAAGGTTTAAGTTGGATACATGGAACAACTTTCTGACACTGAGGAACTGGTTGCTACAGAGTCTGTGGAATGATCTCAATTTAACTGACTCTTCTGTGGCCAGGACAGGGAGTGTCACAGACAACTTCAGCTGTCAACTGGGTACAAACTAGAGTCATCTGGAAAGAGGAAACTTAGCAGGGGAGTTGCCTCCATCAGACTGGCTTGTAAACATGTCTGTGGGAGTTTTCTTATTACTAACTGACACAGGAGGGCCTAGCTCACTGTGGACAGGGCCACACATGGGCAGGCAGTCCTGGGTAGTGTAAGAACAGTGGCTTAGCAAGTCAGTAAGCAGCATTCCTCTATGGTGTGTTTCAGCTCCTTCCTCGGCTTGTAAGCCAAAATAAACCCTTTCCTCCCCAAGTTTGTTTTGGTCATGGACAGACATATCTATCTGTGCATGCTCACACTGGACTCCATGTATGAGGCCCTGTGCTGAGCGGCAGACACAGCATGAAGAAGAGACTAGTACCAGCTCTGCTGACAGGGAGACCAGCTGAGGAGACTCTTCCCTCCCAGCAGGAAGTACAAGTCAGCAAATGGTAAAAAGCAAAGCAAAGAAATCGGGAGTCAGTTATCGGCCTGTGTGAACTCTCCTACTTCCAGCAGCGTGCACACTGAAATCCAAGCACGGCTCTTTCTAGAGCTTTGAGGATGGCTTTGACAGGGAAAAAGAAAGCCATAACATCCTACCAGTTACTGTGAAGCAGGGTCTCCCAGAAGTCTGAGAGGTAGTCAGAAATAGAGTAGAACCACCGGAGGAAAAATACCTGTGGGGGAATGGGCAGTGATCAGGACTGAGCCCAGGAGGAGCCCATACTTCCCAACAGACAAGTCCTGTCAATTCTGCTCTGCTCCTGCCCCGCCCCTCCCGATGGCCCATCCTTCTGGTCCCTGATGCTCACAGGAGCCAGTTCATCAGTCAGGTCAGGGAGCACAGCTTCTGAGGACAGAAATGCTGGATCTTTCCGCAGCTGGTCCAGATAACCCAAAAGGACGAACTTATTGCTCTCACTGCCGGTCCAGGGATCTTCCAGGGTTTTAAACACCACCCTCCCTGCTGTGTTCCGCCTTTCCAAGATGGACACCTGGGAGAAAAAAAAAGAAAGAATAACCACTAAGAGTCTCAAAAACAGCCGGGCGGTGGTGGCGCACGCCTTTAATCCCAGCACTT